ATAAAATTTTGACACATAACCCTAACCTATTTATTTCGAAAGTACAATTGTCAAATCGCAATAAATGCAATTTTTCTCATTGACACAGAAATGTCAAGAACGACATTTCAAATGTAGAGAAATGTCATGTTCAGAATGAAATGTCATTCTAAACATTTAATATGTTGAGAACATTTAATATTATGATTTGACATGTATACTTTTGAAATATAAATAGGATTCAAATGTCGAGAACGACATTTGAAATGTCGAGAATATCATTTGAAAATATTTTCTTTTGAAAGTTACTTCTCGAAATTTGTGAAAAATTGGAAAAAAAACAAATTGCTTCATTTTTTCATTAAAAGCATAATGGACAATTTGGTACAAAATTAAAAATGGTGGAAATTTTTTCATTGACAGTTTGACACCCAAACAAGTAGACATTTCTTAAAATGCCCATTTTTTTAATGCCACGTTAGCAAACGGGGTGGTCAAGAGTAACGTACACACAGCGCGATTGGCGTGAAAGTTGTACTTTCAAAAGAAGTAACTACAATTTGGCGGGTAATGCCACCATCATCACTTGAAGCCTCCGCCATAGCCACCCAACTTATCCAAAAATGCACCACCACCACCTCACTCAGGCAAGCCCGTCAGCTTCACGCCATTCTCCTAACGTCCGCATGTTCCCTTTCCAGAACCCCATACTTATACAACAACATCCTCTCTATGTACGGGAAATGCGGTTCCTCTGTGGATTGTCGACTTGTGTTCGACAAAATGCCTCAACGAAACTTAGTGTCATGCAATGCGCTCATTTCCACATATTCTCGTTTTCCTCGCCAAGCACATTTGGCCTTTTGGGTGTTTACACAGTTGGGAAATGAGGGGCTCGTGCCAAATGGGTCGACATTTACGAGCCTTTTACAGGCGTCAGCTAGCCTTGAGGATGGGATAATGGGGTCTTCGGTGCATGCACTGTGTTTGAAGTTTGGATGCTTGAATAATATTCGCGTTCAAACATCTCTGCTCACGATGTATTCGTATTGTGGGGATATGGATTGTGCTAAGAAAGTGTTTTCCCTTATGGTGGATAAAGATGCCACAGCTTGGAATGCCATAATTTCTGGGTATGTGAAAAATGATGGGATAGTTGAAGGCCTTGAACTTCTTCGCGGGATGTTCAGGGATGGGATTTGTCCAACACAATATACGTATTCAATGTTATTGAATGCTTGGGGGAGGTTAAGGGATTATAATTCTGGGAAAGTTGTTCATGCCCGAGTGATTGTGTCAGGGACATATGTCGATTTGCCTTTGAACAATGCACTGCTAGATATGTACAGCAGTTGCAGTGATACTGTCGCTGCAAATCACGTCTTCAGGAAAATTGAGAATCCAGATTTGGTTTCATGGAATTCAATGATAGCCGGGTATTCAGAGAACGGAGATGGAGAGAAGGCAGTAGATATGTTTGTTCAACTATGTCGAGTGTCTTTAGCTAAACCAGATGCATACACGTTTGCAGCAGTTACTTCTGGGATAGGAGCATTTCCAGCTCTAGATTACGGAAAACCACTCCATGCCCAAATTGAGAAGGCAGGATTTGTGAGGAGTGTCTATGTTGGGAGCACACTGATATCCATGTATTTCAGCAATGGCGAGATTGATTCTGCTCATAAGATTTTCTACTCAATTTTGCTAAAGGATGTTGTTCTTTGGACTGACATGATTGTTTGGCATAGTAGAATAGGTGATGGCGAGAGCACTATTAAGTTATTCCATGCAATGTCACGGGAAGGCTATAAGCTTGAGAGCTTTGCACTTAGTGGAGTTTTAAGTGCATGTGCCGATCTTGCAACTCAGAGACAAGGCAAGATGATTCACTCCCAGGCCATAAAAACAGGAAACGATTCTGAAATCGCTGTTTGTGGAAGCCTGGTCGATATGTATGCTAAAAACGGAAAACTTGAAGCTGCTGAATCCATATTTTTTCTTTTGCAAAACCGCGATTTGAAGTGCTGGAACTCGATGATTGGAGGATATGGTCACCATGGGAAAGCAGAGGAGGTTTTTCTAGTTCTTAACAAAATGTTGATACAAGGCATGAAACCAGATCAAGTAACGTTTATATCTCTACTTGCTGCTTGTAGCCATTGTGGCTTGGTGGACAAGGGTAAGTTCTTCTGGAATTATATGAAGGAAAATGGTTTGAAACCCGGGCCTAAGCACTATTCTTGCATGATAAGTTTGTTAAGTCGAGCAGGACTATTAGAGGAGGCTGAGGAAATGATAATCCAATCACCCTTTGTAGATTATCATCTTGAATTATGGAGAACTCTCTTGAGCGCCTGTATCACAAATGGAAATTTTAGAATCGGAATCAATGCTGCTAAGCAGATTTTGAATACCAATGCAGAAGATTGTGCAGCAAATGTACTGCTTATGAAACTATATGCTGCAGCAGGGAGATGGGATGATGTTGCAAAAACGAGGAAGAAAGTGAAACAATTAATGTTAGAGAAAGAACCAGGTTTAAGCTGGATAGAGGTCACAAATAACATGCATGTATTTTCTTCTGGTGATCAATCACACCCACAAAATGATGAACTGCAAGGTGAGTTGTGTAGAGTTATGGGTAACCTGATGCCTATGGAAGCAGATGAGATGTGTGTAAATTTGTTTAGGTACATTGTCCCAAAAAATAACCGTTACACTTTTTGACGCCTAGGTGAAGGCTCATAAGAGCTTTAAGTTTAGTGTGACCGTCTAACCACGCTTCAAACTTTTTAGAACGCTGATTTTTGACATAAATGGTTCACAGACTTTCATACAAGAATAATTTGCAAGAAAAAAATGAATTAGAAAGTTCAAGATTCACCCATGTTGATAGACCCGGTCAGGCATTAAACTGGAAAATGTAGAGGGCAGGAGGTTAAACTGCGTTGTACCGGAGGTAACAAATAATTTTCATATGCTTACACTAGACCAATTAAGGTTCTTTCATAAATATTATTATCTAAAAAGCCCATCAGCCAAAGATTGTAAGAGATTAATAATTATCCAAGCACCATGGCCTCGACACGATTTGTTCTATTAGTAGCAATGTCCTTCAGTGATCTCCACCAGACATGTAAAACATGAACATGAGTTAACAAATGTAGATGATACCGATCGATTAATTAAGAGAACGACAAATTATTAAGTGGTCGATGACATATTTTACGTAAACACAGAGGCTCGAATTAATAAGAGAAGCAATCTCGTTGTAATATATTAGAGAAGAAAATAGATCAAAACTAACAAAGCTACTGCAAACAATCTTTCATTAAATCTGACAATGAACGTGAACAATGATTCATATAATCAACCAAATAAAAAGCACGGTTGTCACAGTTGAGTAAAATATCCCTGGGGAAAGTGTCACCATGCTGCAGATATCGTGACAACAGATAATGAACTTCAGAAGGCTGAATCCATAAGAAAAACATTAATAGCTATATCTCAAACATAAAAATATTCACATCATAAAAACAAAAATATAAAATTCTAGCATGTCAAAAGCAAACAGATCGACACAAGAAATCATCAGAAATTTGTTAAGGATAAATGAGTACAGAAGTTTTCTAGTTACTATAGGCCTGCAAAAATTACAGAGGGCGAACTTTACATTGTTACAATAGCATTGCTTTCAAGCAGCAAATCAGAAGCAATAATGATCAAATGAACTGAAATTTGACATCAGTCGGATAATTTACAAAATGAAAATCTAGGTAGCCCAGAAATTCCAGAAGCACATGATTCCTATCCTAGGGCCATAAGAATATCGATGAACTTTTGCCCATCACAATATCTGGTGATCATTAGAAGCTGAAAGCAAATCAAACACATAAAAGTCTGCCTCTATTTTGATGAACTGTTAAGAAGCTGACTACCGCCGGGCAGTGCGACTTTTTGCTCTTGCTTTCTGCACGACAAAGGAGAAGCAACAGATTACTTTAAAAAGCCTAGTGCATGCTTGACATGGACAACCCAATGAGAGTAAATAACAAGTCATCCAGATGTCAATCTGATATGTATGATAGCATACTACTTTACGCCATTAATGTATTCATTGTTCACAAACATCCACAGTTTTCCCAGGCCAATACTCACAAGCATAAAACATAAGGAACAAAAAAGAAAAGCAATTCATGCGCCAGTAGACTCATGCATATATATCCACAGATGAAAAAAAAAATTGTGCCTCAGATGAAAAAACTTGTGCACTTTTATGCCGTAGATGAAAAAAATGAGTCTAGTAGGCACGAGGGAATGTAAAAGACAAATTTAAAAAAATATCTCCCCTCGAACAACTTAAGCTTTTAATTCTTTTCGTTTAACACTATTGTGCTTCTCCAGTTTTCCAGGAAAATGAAGATATCTGGGATAAGATAATACAGTTTTATGGTCCAAACAACATCTTTCTGTCCATGTTTAATTACTAAGACAAACTCTGAATACATAATATCATCTAAGACCACTGGCATTTTTCCCAAACAGAGAACCCCAACGGAGAACACTATCACCGAGACACCACTAAAACTAGTCCTTGCGAACACAACAATCTCAACCACTCACAGCAGCAGCATTCAAGCTCAGCAGCTATCACAGTTCATATAAAACATAAATCCTAAAATACGAAATTTTCTTAAAATGACTAAGTATGAGGAAGAAAATTAAGTATTGCCAACTTGTAATGTTTCTTTTACAATGACCAGAATCTTAGGGTATTCCTAAAACAACGTTATATAATTCATGATTGGCTCCTATTTCATTCATTATTGTGGCTAAAAAAATTTGACTGCCTTTTCTTCAGTACATGAAATATAGGCAAAATCAGGTCTTAAATTTATCTCGGGGTCTTAAACTTTCACAAAAATCCTTATTCTGTTACCACTAATATAATTGTTACACCATCTCCCACCTACCTTTTTGATAGATCTCGAAGGAAAATCTTTTCTAACAATAATCTAGTAATAATAATAAGACTATCATTTTTTCAGTAATAGGAACATAGTCCTGAAGTGAAAAAGTTGACTCAACACCAAGTTAGAGCTGGTCAAACTTTTCATACTCGAGTGACAATTTTTCACTTTGGCCATGAAAAGAGGGCTAATATGAACAACTCCCATCCTAAAGTCATTGCTACTTTCCTTTTTCTTTACTTATCAAACATCCGTAAATCCCACTAGACTTGTGTCACCAACAATTGTCACTCTTAACCATCGTTGACTTCAATGATTCATTACGATTTTGAATATAATTGGCCATTCAGGTCAACCATCATAGCTATCACTTCTCGAATGCCTCGATTTATGCTCCTTGTACATTAATCATTTCTCCAGAATATGCAATATGTCAAAATATGACATCCAAGTTCAACTGAGCTAGCTTATGGTGTGATTCATCACTAATCATGTTATGATATCAGAATGGAGGCATAGATATTAATGGGAACAATGTCGGCAATTAATGATCTGTTCTATATGATTCTATCTAAAGAATGCATCATCATTTGGCTTTTTCTATCTGTAAAGAGCAATTTTTCAGTAGACAGCTCCAGCAAGTACATTGAATCAAAATAAATTAAAGCCCCTATTTGGTAGAGATTAAAATAAGATTTTTAGTAGATTTTGATAAAAATTGATGAAATGTGTGATTAAAAAATTGTGGATCCCATAAAATATGTGGTTAAAATTAATTGTTGACTTTGACTTTGACAAAAATTAAGATTTAATTTCTATCAGACGGGCAAAATGTCAAACAGATAAAAAATAATAAATTTTCTCATATGCAAAGCATGTACTTTTAAGAGGACAGATAGTCAGACATTGATGTGGGGAGCAAGAGGTAAGAATGTGAAAGGAAAGATATGAAAAGCCTGTCCAGAGATAATTAAAATAAGAAATTAAATTTACTCACTGAAATAGTCCCAAAGCTCGCTCCTGATCCTGTTGCAGCTCCTATTGACAAATCAAACAAATCCAGTGAAAAAGGATGAAAAGGAAAGGTACTCAAACAGGGAAAAAGAAACGCTTAGGTTAAACACAAATATTATAGGCGTAAAACACCAGAAATATAATTTGAATTACTGAGATTTTTTCTCTCGAAAATGGTTAGATCATTTGACAATAACATGCAGTTGATATAAAAGTCTGCTATCCAAATTGTCACAATAATGAGTCGAAGTAATAATAATGTTGACCTAGAATTAATTGATAGCAATATTCGTGTCAAGTAGCAAGATACAAACTATAGATGCATTCAATTAAAATCAGAAAACCAACACATAGGTTGACAAGGCAGGATGAGAAGAGGTAGGTTTGTTGCAATTGCACTAACACAAAGAAAATGGTGACCAGTGGAAGGAAACTATGTTCGTTACAAAAGCATTGAACATCAAATAACCTCATTCAAACCCATCGATGATGACCGGTTTGAACTTGATGAAGAGGAGATAGTGTTGTCTCACGGGTATTAATTTCTCAACAGGAAAGCAGAGAACTAAAATTCAGTGCATCCCACCAAATTTCAGCAAGAAAAAATTCAATTCTTACACTAAATAACATGATATAAATTAACCAATTTCCATTTTTCTTGTCAGTCATCTAAATAGCAGTAGTTGACAATATTGAAGTTAATCGTTTGATTTGCTAGTCGAAAATTACCTGTACCAAATGGAGTTGAAAAAGTTGAGAGTCCAGAAGGAGTTGAACTAAATAATGAAGCCGAAGTGCCAAAGCCTGAGGTGGAAACAGATAATGAACCAAAAGGTGAAGTCTGAGGGGTTGCACCAGACGATGCAAACAAAGAGGAGACTGGAGCAGACGTGGTAGGAGTGGAGAACAGAGAAGGTGATGTGGTAGCAGATGGAGTAGCGAAGAGTGAGGTCCCACTTCCAGATGAAGCTGATGCTGCAGCAAACATACTTGGTGTAGTTGATGCCCCAGTTGCAGCAGAGCTGGTAAGCAGTCCAGCAACTTGGGTTGATGGTTGAGAAACTGTAGGCAAATGTAGAGTTGGGTGCACCCTGCGAGCAGCAGCCTCTTGTTTGGCTGTTTCCCGCCTATCAGCCTCAAGAAATGGATCATTCCCATCCCCACGACGGCGCAGGTCTGCAAGGTACGCAGTTTTCATGGATTCAATGTACTGATGGGTGCTCTCAACCTACAGTGTCAATTATGAAAAGCACCGCATCAGCATTACCATAGGAAAAGTTGTAAGAACAACATATAAATGCACATCAATAAAGCAAAATGTTGAAACAAACATTTGGAACAGTAAAAATATCATTATATGCACTCTGGAAAGTAAAAACTGGAACTTTTCCTGAGAACAACAATGCTCTCGTACAGTAAATCATTCAGATATTGCTTGAAATGAATTGTGTGACATATAGAACCTTGTGTCCTACAAACTGTGAGGAAAACAATGATAACAGAATGGGGAAGGAACAAAAGTTCCAACTCAAGAATATTGTTCTAATTTCAAATTAAAGGGAAATTTTTGAAATAATCACAATCAGAGGTTTTTCTATTATGAACCAATTTTTTCAACTAATTTAAGCCCTGTTTGTTTTTTATTCTCAAATTCTACAATAAACCAATTCTCATTTTCAACCACACATTCTTCAATAAAATAATATTTTCCATCACATCAATAATTTTTTCTTAACCACACAT